ATTGGAAAGTATCAGAGCTTTGAAAAGACTGTTTTAACTTCTCATTTTAACCACTGCTTGATGCCCACATAATTTAAAATATTCCAGGAAACTTTGCAGTAAATGATCTTATGTATGAGTAGGATGCAAATTGCTAATCTTTATGTAATGAAGAGAGGATAGTGAAAACATTTGTTATGCTGATATTTATGGTTTAATACATACTTTGTGTTACTATTTACATAATACAAGGAAGCACAGAACCAAAAGTGACACTTACTTTGAAATAATTCCTCTGGTACAGAGTAAATCATCTTTGCTGTTAGAATCTCATTCTTTGATGCATTAATTGCTCAGAAGAGAGACTTGCATATTTTTTTCTGCACAGGAAACTGCAAATTGTAACATGAGATTTAGTTATTTTCATTGAAAGCCTCACAAGTTGTCACCTCAGTGATGAATGGTGTATGATGCTAAACTGGTTATTCATCTTTTTTCTCTTCAACAATATTACTCTTGTTAACTGGCATTTGGGATTAAACCAGGAGGGGAAAAACTATCTACAAAGGATGAAGGAAAAAAATTACCACTTGACTGAAAATTCCCATTTGCCCTGAAATTGCTAAAGTAAATACGCTTAGATCCAGTCAATACTAGAAACCATTTCAACCTGCCTGGAAAACATTCTACTAGTAAGGAAGTTTGCATTTAATCAAAGGACAGCACTTTGCAGAACAGGAGTGAGTAACTTCAACTATATAATCTGATAAAGTAAAAGAAGGTGTGGATTGTGTCATTTGAGAGTGTGTCCCCACTGAAAGCACTCATTATACACATCTTAGGCACTTCTACACATGCAATTAGTGCTATATGGGTTTATCCTGCAGTAATTTACTGCAGAGTAAACCTGCCCTAGGCAGGTGTCTACACATGTGGCCATTTGGGAGCAGATTTGCTCCTCATGGCACTAACATACTCCAGGCTTCTTTGGCTTTACACTGCCCCACTGCAGCAGCCAGGGGAGCTGGAGGCTCTGGCCACACCTGCCTGTGGCTAGGGCCCTGCACGGTGCTCCCTGGCTATCTGCCTTTTTGGCCAGGAGCAGGCTGCAGCATCCTGACTCCTGTGTTGTGCGGTCATGTGGCCAGGCTCACTGCGGCATCTGAGGCCCCCTGCCACTGCACTGCTGCCACCTGGACCTCATGCTGCTGCCCAGACCCCAGCTTGTGCATGATATCCTCCATGCACCAGGCCTGCAAGTCCATCAGCAACTCGTCCATCATGGTGACCAGCTAGTCCAGTAACCAAGTCAGTTCCTGGGTCTGTTGCTGCTGGAGACACTGTAATTAAAGTGGCTAGAGTGTCTTGTGTATAAGCATCCCTGCACTTAAAAAATGGTGGTGAAGGGGTGCACCTTAAGTGCCCCTGCTGCCATTTTTAAGCATGGGGATGCTGATACATGAGGCACTGGAATCTGCTGGAGCACAGTAATTACTACACACTAGCAGACTCAACTATGTCTGCTTTGATGCGCTGTAATTGCAATGCATTAGAGCAGCCTCACTGCTCGTGTATAGGCACCTGTAGATTTCAAGCCCGTTTTTCTTTTATGATCAGAATTACCCCTGATACACTAAAGTTAGTTTTCCTTCATGTCAGTGATTAGAAGATTGTTTGTAGGGTTATATATATCTGTGGTTGGGTGACAGGTTGGTTAAGGTGTTGTCTTACAGCTCCAGACATGTGAGCATGAACCTTTCTCTTGACTTGTACCAAAACCTGCCCCACCAGCAAATGGGTACCTGTTCATTCAGGCTGGAAAATTGGAGGATATAAATAATAACCACATCACTCCCCTGTGTACCAGTAGCTATGGAAGCCAGGTTGTCTAATGTGTTTCCTACGCTCAGGTAGCCTATAACTAAATGATATAGTTAGCTAAAGGTTCTATTCATTATTTGCAGGCCTTTTCCCAGGTGAGGGAGGGAGGGCACTTAATTTGGTTCATTATGTCTGAAATTCCTTCTTTTTGCTTGCACAATACTTTCCTGTTGACTACATACATCTGTCTTCAAAATTTCCTGACCAGATGTTGTTTGTCTTGCCCAATTGATTTGAATGCTGATGTAGCTTCTTATCTTCTGATATCTCTGTTAAAGTGGGCAAGGGTCTTCTTCAGGCATGCTTGTCATCTTATCTGTACCTCTTGATGTTTTCCCTATTAACATTTCTTTGGGTGCCTGGCATCCTTCATGCAGATTAGAAGCCATCTCCATCCGTGGTGTGTTTTTATAAGCATTGCTTCAAAACAATTTGTGCAACATCTGTACAGAGCATCCTTCTGGTGTCTGGTCACTTGATGAGCTTAATCAATTAGAAACTCCTTAATAAATGACTCTGTGTTTTTGATGTGCCAGCAAAAACTATTGCTGTGCTCTAGATGGAAATCACTAGAGCATAATAAGCAGGCACCTCACAACTCGTATTAATCTATTCTGGGTAGAGACTGTCATATAGAGGCCCAGATCCTAATAGAGGCATTTGGACTCTATTGCAATGTAGTAAGGGGTTGTTATGGCTGTTAACCTTGTTTTTTCTATAATAAACTGGTTTTTCTGCAGTAAGTACAGTAGAGCCCAGATCTTTTGTATAGAAGTGGTTCACAACCTGCTTAATTTGCAGTGGGGTATTGAATTAGGGACAAGACATGCAACTTTTTGCTGTGGCTTTTGCTTCAGTGGATGCAAAGCATCTGGGTTCTATGATAAAAATTATTTTACCTCACTGACAGCAGCCAGTGGTGGTGGTGAAGACTTGTCTTACATATATGGACTTACATCCAAAAAAATACATACTGCTTTTTAGGGAGTATACCCCTTCTGGGTACATTTCTGATGGAGCGGGGGCAGTTGTGGTGGTGGTCAGACATGGAGTGGGGGGTCAAGGCAGCCAGACACAGAGCAGGGAGGGGTTTGTATGTGGTGGTGGCAGCTGCCGTGTGCAAGCTCCCCTCCCTGCCCCGCATCCGGGTGGCTGGGCCCTGTGTGGCTGGGACCTCATCCCCCCTCCTACCTTGGTCCTGTTCTTGGGAGGTGGCAGCGTGGGGTGGTGGGTGGCGGCACTCTGTCCCCGCCTACCCATGCGTATCCCTTAGCCCCTTTCCAAGTACCCCTTGGGGGTATGCATATCCCCAGTTGACAACTCCTGGCCTAGAGAAGCTGACATACAACCTCCTCAATTACCTTTGTGAAAGATTGTAACCTCCTCAGGATAAGGAGTTTGCCAGATGTTTGAAATTTAACAAAATTCCTGGCATCACATATTTAGGAGCATCATTAATCACTGCTGCAAAAAAGAGTCCAGAGACACTGTGCCAAATCTCATAACACATCCTTGCTTGGCTGTATTTGATATTTATGTAATGTGTGTGCATAATAGCCTATCAAAGACCGAACTCAGTTCAGCACTTGTCTTCTGCCTGTAGATCTCTCATGTCTCAGGGTTAAACTGAAGAAGCACAGTTCTTCCCAGGTGTTAATGACAATTATTCTCCCAGCCCTCCCTCTTGCTCCAAATGGTAATAGGAATTACATTTTTTTTAAATTAAACTAAACTACAGACTTTGTGCTGGTTTATGGTGAACAAGGCCTCCTGCTTTCACAGCTATGTTAGTGCCTCTCGCTCTACAAAATTTCCTTTTGTGATAATTATTACTATATTTTAGTTTGTCCTGCAGAGGCAGGAAATGGTATTAGAATTCTGCTTTTCTGTTTAGTCCACATAGATATTATGTGGACTAAATAGATATTTAGTCAGAGATAATAAGAAAATACTTGGCAATTATGCTAGCTCAGAGTCTATTATTCCTTCAGTTCTGTGTCTGCACAGAAAGGAAAGCTGAAAGGGCTATTTCAGTCATTTAGAGTATATGTTTCCCTGGCACACTCATAATCTCACCAAAGCCATTATTTGGAAGTCATTTGCACTCAATCATTTTGCCTGCTAATGAGGAGTTACTGAATCCTCCATGCATTAATCCCATTTAGGAAAACACAAAGGCAATCTGTACCTTGTATCAAGCAATTATTACTGCAGTGAGCTTGAGGAATTCAGTCATTTGTTGGGGGTTGTTTTTCCCACAACAGACCTCTAAATAGAATTACCAAGTCTTTCAAATGTTAATTTGTTAAGAAAAATATAATAGCTAATAAAGACAATTAGGTTAGTATGGTAAATATTAGACTGCCGTGCTAAAGCAGCTCTTGACTGTGAAGCAAGTGTGGCAGGAGTCTGTGGAGCTGGAAATGCTGTATAACATCTTTCTTCAAGGATAGAGAACACATATTTTCTTAAACAAGGTCTGATATTGATGTTGTTAGCATATCCGTTGGAATATAGGGTCAGCTGGAAGGCCAGAACTGTTCTGTACTGTACAAACTGCTAGTATTAAATAGTTACTGGATAAGTAGCTGTACTGCAGAAAAATATCTAGTGTTATAGAGAATCCCAAATGAAACATTAGTTAACAATATGATTCTGTTGCAACAAGGGCAATTCTCATTTTGAATATATTAGCAGGAATATTTTTTGTAAGGCAGAGAAGAAAATTATTTTACTTAGCACTGACACAAGCCTCAGCTAGAGTACTCAGTGCCACTCTGGGCACGACACTTTAAGAGGGATATAGAGACATTGGAGAGAGTCCAGAGAAAAGTAACAAGAATGATAAGAACTTTAGAAAACATGTCCTAGGGGGGAAGGTTAATGAACTTGGTTTGTTTAGTCTAGAAAAAAAGATGAACTGAGTGGAGGCAGTCTTCCAGTATGCAAAAGGTTGTTTTAAAGAGGACATTGATCATAATGTTTTCCTTATTCATTGAGGATAGGACAAGAACAATTTGGCTTAATTTGCATCAATGAATTTCTAGGATATACGTTTTGGAAAATTAACTATATCATTATTAATAAAGCTCTGGAACATGCTATCAAGAGAAGTTGTGGAATCCTCTTCCTTAGAAGTTTTTTAGAACAGGTTAGATGAATAGTGACTAGATGATACAGGCAGAGTTGATACTGCCTCCAGGCAGGAGAATAGATTAGACTGTCTTGAAATTCCTTCCAGAACGACATTTCTATGATTGTATGAAAGTTTCTCTTTTTGTAATAGATACCCAAACAATTGCAACATTTACCTAGTCTCGGAGGGGTGCACGCCTGCCCTAATGAACAGGAAAACTAAACAATAACTATTAGAATTCTTCATCAGACTACTGATATCCTGGCCAACCTTTTTAACAAATGGGTGTCACTTATAAATGTAATAGGAAAATTCCAGGCTGAAAATTTATTACAATACTAAAACTATTCAGTTGTCCTCCTTTAACTAAACTATTTTGATTCCATAATTCAAAGTATTGCTTAAAAAAATTAGGACCAGGTTCTGCTATATGCTTATAATAAATGCTTAGGATCTTTCCATCTCAGGTGGTATTGGTAAGTAACTACCAGAAGTGATTTTCCCATCCTTTTGCCCCCCTTCATGTGCAATACATCCAAATATTAGTGCCACTGTTTAATAGTTTCATTACTCCATTTTTTTCTCAAAAATACTAAATTTCTATTTTACAGTACAATTTAATTATTTTGTGTTGATTTATAAAGCTCTGTACTCTTGGATTGTAGCAGTTTCAGACATGTTTTCTTTCCAGATATTGTTGTGGCATTTCATGCCAGCTGGATTGTTCAGACTAGCAGCCACTGGATTTAAGGAGGTGTTGTCAACAGAGCCTATACTTCTTGATATCATGAGTGGAGGCTTGCCTTTGTTCTGAGGTTATTGCTGGAGTGATGTTGCTGTATAGATGTTCAATTATATTTGAGCAGGAGTTATTTGTAAGCAATCTTGCTGGTGTTTTCAGAAAGTGATTGATGGTTTGAACATTAATTTTAATTTGTAGCACAAAAAAATTGCAAAAATTGCAAAAATGTCTTATGTAGACATGATTAATCCTTCTGCCACATGATTAATCCTTCTGCTCTATTCAGCATAGGTCAGGCCACTGTGTCCAGTTTTGGGCACTGTACTCCAGGAAAGGATGGATCAATTGGAGAGTCCAGAGAAGAGCAACAAAAATATTTGGAGAGCTAGAAAATATGGACTAAAAGGGAAGAGTGGAAGAAATGTGTTTGTATAGTCTACAAAAGAGAAGTCTAAGTAAGTCTTCAAATATATAGAAGTTTACTGTAAAGAGGGAAGTAAGAATTTGTTCTTGTAGTCCCTGGGTGGTGGGACAAGAAGTAGTGAGATTAAGTTGAAACAAAGGAGATTTAATTTAGACACTTAGGGGGAAAAACAATATTAAACTGTAAGGATAATTAAGTACAGTAAAAGCTCTGTTATCCGGCATTCCCTGTGGGACAGGAGGCAGGCCCCACACAGCCTGTTATGCCCTTGGGCTTTGGGGGCTCGACAGTGCAGGCTGCTTTGCCTTAGCCCATGAGGGCTCAGAGAAACTGGAAGTGCCATGCTTAGATTGTGGAACGTCATCATTCAAGGTGTTGAGAACAAGTTAGACAAGTGTCTAACAGGAATGATGTAGATATATATGGTCCTGTCTTGGGACATGAGGTTTGAGCAAATGATCTCTCAAGGTTCCTATAAGTCCTACTTTTCAGGATTGCATGATCTTTACTTATATAATGCTCACAGAGTTGATGATTCAAAGGAGCAACTTGCATTGGCCTCTAAGTATGTAAAGTTAGAACAAAGATTTAGTACTCATGGGACTCATCTACACATGCAATAAAAAAAAGCAATAAACTTCTAAGTTTATTGCTCTAGAGTTTTTTGCTCCTGGGAGTGCCATTTGAATGCGTGCACGGGAACAGTAAACTCCATTTGGATGTGTGCCCATGATCACAGCACACTGAGCTGGGTCGGAGCAGCCCCAACTGGCAGGGAACCCTGGGGGTCAGCTTGCTAGCTCTGGGCTTCTCCTTTCAGCTCGACATGCTGTGGAGGGGCTGGCTGCGTCATGAGGGTGCTCATGGGCAACTGGTGCTTCCCAAGGCCGGGGGGGGCACTGGATGGCTGATGCAGAGGGTCCCACATTGGCCGATCACCAAGCCAGCAGTGAAACCAGAAGTGTGCTTCTGCTGGCACTTCCGGTTTTGCAGCTGGTGCTTCTGGAGGTGCACGGCCAATCTCAGGGGATGCACGTTCACCTGCATGCACCCCCTACACATCATCAATAAGGGTGCTTCAGTGCAGGGCTAGCCAGCAGGCAGCCCCAGCACTGAAGCACCCTCATGCCCTAGCCATTTGAGGCAGTGTCTACACATGCACTGCTGTGGAGTTTTTTTTACTAGTACTAGTTTATTTACAAGTACTATCCTATTGTGAAGTAAATGAGTTTACTCCAGCCTAATAAGGATGCAGATGCAGATGCTGAGACTTTTAATGTGCAGCTAATTAGTCTACTGTGCAGTAAATGTCTCATATAGACACACCCATGCAGTACATTAAATACTGAATTTAGAGCCAGGCAGTACCCACTGTTTCTGTTTAGTCTAGATACTGTGAGAAAAGTCTTAGTTTTTCAGTGCTTCCTCTTTCAATTTCAACTAAAACCAAGAAATTCAGAGAAGTGGGTAAATGACAAATTGGCAAAAGGACTGAAGATGACTGGGCTGCTTTGGAACTGGAAAAGTACTTGACTTAAATCTACTCTGAGTCTGAGTTCCTGGTTAATGTGAGGTCTTAAAATCTGAATTGGTTCACTTCTCCCTGGTAAGAACCTTGTGGGCAGAAAAGATAAAGAGAGGATGACTGAAAACAGTAAAAACTGATTACTTCTCTCTGCTGTAAGACTACTGTGCTATGAAAGGACCAAGGGTTCTCTAGTATGAGGTAGTAGTGGAACACAAAACTTATAAAAAAACTGCAAGATTTTGGCTTGGATAGTAGAAATTCAAGCTGAAAGTGCCAGGTATATATTAGGTTAAGTAACTGAACCTCTGCTCCCTCCTTGTTCTTTAGACATTTTTAGACTGTTTGGCATATTCAGAATCCTGATTTATATCTGAGTAAAGTACTAATACTGCCAAAAGAGTGTGTACTGTCTTATTTCAATCAGTAGGTGTCAAAAACACAGCTCACTAAAGGCATACTGGCTAACCTCCTGAGTCAAGGCTATATACTGAAATATGATGGATGGGCCTATCAGGTCTAACCACTTTGACAACCACAAACAAACAACATGATGGGGAAAAAATTGTTAAGTAGAAAGTACCCACATTCTCAATGACGAACAGAGCCAGAAATGCTGCAAATTAGTGAGGCAGATCTTCAGTTAGGTTGTTTAGTTCCAAGTATTTGAAGTTGAGGACACAACACTCAGTTGTAAGATTTAGCTGCTCTCTCAGACTGTTGTCTATACAAATCTAATCTGAAAGCAAAATGAAGTACCAGGGCCCAGTTTTACCACCTTCCTTCACTGTACTTTGGGACATATCAAGACCTTCCTCCCCACTCACATCTCAGGGCAGGTATTCACATGAGTAGCCCCAATGTGGGCAAGGTGGCCTCAATGTGGCCATTGGGGTCAGGCTGAAGCCTGCCCTTCTCCTTTGTTAATTCAGCCTTTGCTGGCCTAACTGTGCTGGCTGCCAGGCCAATGCCCTGCATATTCCACATCCATCAGTGTGAGAAGCAAAGTAGCTATCCTCAGTCCTAGGAAATGCAGGTAGCTTCAAGGTGGGGATAAAGGCTAGGGAAAGAAATTACACATAAATCAATTTAAGTGATCAGAAACTGGTATAAGCCTGTAACAAAACCTAAGTCCACTGCACATAACCAGTTTCAAAATGTTAAGATAAACCTGGCTGAATGTAGTATCAGACTTAACTGATTTAGGTCAAACTTGTTTATGCTCTCTGCTCCAGAGCTAGCCCCACCACTCTGCTCTCTCGCTTGAGCAAGGGCAGGAGTGTGGCCAGATGCATGTCCCAGCTTGGCCACATTAAGGCAAAGTGGGCAGGGAGGGGATTAATTCTTCCCTCTTTCCCATCCCCACAACACCACTGCTGGGGTATGCCTGTCTACAGGGGAGTGGTGGAAGCAGGGGCTGGCCAGGCCTGGCAGACCCCACCTGCAGTCCCTGGGGGCAGAAGGGATGGAGGAAAGAATTAACCCTCTTCCCCTTTGCCCCCTTCCCTTTGCCTTAGTGGGGCTATTCCCCCTGCCCCAGCCACTGGAGCAGCAAGGGGACAGGGAGGGTCAACTGCCTCTGTCAGGGTGCCCAGGAAGGGGTTTATTCCCCCCCTCCCTTCCTTGTCTCACCAGCAGGGACCTCAGCCATCCCAGCATGGCCCCATTAAGGCTAAGGGGGCAGGGAGGATATTAATTCCCCCCACTTCTTACAGAGGGACTGCAGCCAGGGCAGAGTAGCTCCCTTTCTCTCCCCACACAGCTGCCTCCTCTTCCCCCAGGAGGAGGGGGAAGAGTGGAGCTGTGTGCCCAGACTCCTCCCGGCTGTCAGGGAGATACTGCAGTGGGAAGGGCTCTCCCTCTCCTCTTCCTCCCTTGCCATGGGGGTCTGGCCATACCCCTGTCTGGCCACACTCCCTCTTCCCCCACCCTCTGAACCCTGCAGGGCAAGATGGGGGTTTAAACCCCTTCTCAGTCATACTCAGGCCTCCGGGGCCTGGCCACACCTCCCCGCACCCTCAGCTCAGCTTGTGGAAGGGAAAGGAGGACCTGAGCCACTGCATTTCTGGGAAAAAAAGTGGATATCTGTCCACTTGCAAATCAGTTCAATCTCTGCAGGTTAGACTGACCTGCAACAATTGAATCAATTCAGGTTTAGGCTTTTTGAATGACTGTCCCTAGCCAATGGGCTTACTTAGGACCTCTGTCCCCTATGGGGCCAGGCTTACAACAGAGCCCATAGAAAAGTACTGCTTAAGAGGAGTATAGGTAATGCAATCTAGGTTATACAATGGAGAAGATGCCACTTCAAAAATCTGCAAATTACGGAATAAAGTCACACTTTAAATTATATTTCTCAGCTGAAATATTGTTTCTATACAGTGAAAATAAAGAACTGATGCATCTGTATCACTTGAATTCTAACGTGCTTCCAGTACATGCAGTAGTCAGTCAGTTTTTGTTTGATAGCCCTTTGTGAATAGCCTTATTCCTGGTCTTCCTTGGTACAGTAAGGCAGTTTCCCCTGTTTTTTGTATGCATCTTTCACTTAGGGGAGTCAATGTTCTTGCTCTTTAGTTTTAGTTGACATGCAACAACTTATGTATACTGCATGTGGAAACAATGGAAAGGAGTTACCAAATATATGCCATTCTAATCCTGGGCTCCCTTGTTCCCCTGCGTACACCACTGCTTTCATTAGACATTTCCTTGATGGTTTTTTGCTGGCTGACTGAGATCAGAATTTGGCCCTTTGAAAACCATCCTAGTTTTAAGCAGGAACTCTCTTGGTTATGACTGCACTTCTGCTCTGATGCAAAATGCGGTTTCAATTAATAGGCTTTGTTAGCAATACTTTGCCAAGAAAATAATACAGTGCATATAAGTAGAGCAGAGTTATTTTTTAAAGTGGTTAAACTCATTGTTGGAACAATGAATAACACCACTGGACAAACTAAAGCAAAAAGGGACTGTTCCAACTCTCATTGAAGTCAATGGAAAGACTCCTACCGAGTGCAATGAGAATTTGGATCTGATCCAAATAGTGGAATAGTTTCCTAAGGAAAGTGGAAGCACTGTTTGGACCTTGTACAACATTCTTCCACCCTGATAAGTATCTCTGTAAAAACTGAGCTTTCTTACACAACAGATTTGCTGCATGTGTATATCCAAAACTAAATCTACCCAACAAAAATAAAATATTTCTCCTTTACTCCTGTTAGGCCTGCAGAGCCTGCACAGCTCTGACAGTGTAAACAGGGTCTTGTTTCTTCTTGCACATAAAAATATAAATCCCAGCTATGCAGGGATTTAATGCTGCACATTAAAATTTCTGCACATGTGTAAATGAAGACATATTTTGAAAAGGCTGGGATTACACAGATGTAACTGAGGCTAAGGATGTAAATTACACATAAACTGGTATAAGTGATCAGAAACCAGTTAAACTGTGTAACACAACAGAAGTTCAGTGCACATAAACCACTTTAAAAATGGCCAAAATTGGTTTCAGATAAACCTAAATGGATGTAGTATCAGGCTTAATCAATTTAGGTTAAATTAGTTTGTTGAACTTCTGTTCTAGATATCCTCCAGATCAAATTAACTCACAGTCCCGCAGCATCCCAGGATGCTTTGCACCTCCCCACAACCCCTTTCCCCCACTTGTAGGTAGGTAGTCCAGCCTTGGCCCGAGCAGAAGGCATGCTCCAGTGCCCCATAGCTTCTGACTTGGGCCACTTCAGGCACATGATTGAATTTCCAGAATCAGAAGTGAATGTCTGTTCATTTGCTTATTGGTTCAGTCTATGCAGTTTAGCCTAGCCTGTGAAGGTTGAATAGATTCAGCCTCAGGCTTTTTCATTGTCTGTACTTAGCCTGAGGAGCTATATTTTGCTTAAAATATTTTACAGTATAAACAGACATAACAATTGTATCAATAGCAAATTGTATGGATTATAAACTGTTTTGACTTAACTGCATGTTTCTGTAGCAATCCAAGTGTACCAAAATCAGTGCAACTTTAATTTAGTTTCATTCAGGTTTTTAGTTTTAGTGATTTATCTGCCTTGTATCACTGCAAGAGCATGAAGACAAAACTATGAAAGCATAACCATTAATGCATGCTCCCAAACAATAGCCCCTATTCCCCTCTTAAAGAGGTATTTGTCCACAGCTTTAGTTGCTGCCATTTGATGCATGATAAATAAAGATCCCATTTTAAATGTAAAATATTGTTAGGTTTATAGAGCTGGTAGACAGACTTTATTTAACTGAAAAATGAAGTAAATCTGTATTAAAATAATTCAGAAACAGTAAATCTGAAAACCCATTAAGTCACTTTCCAGAGAAGAGCATGCTTTCAGCTAGACTCAAAACTGTTCAAAGTTTATAACAGGAAATAATCTAAATGGATAGAGATATGGATTGAATGATGATCTGGGGTGTAAGAGTAGATTATTTATTAACTGGCCACATCTACACGAGATGCTTAATGTGCAGAAGACTAATTCTACTGAGCATTAGCATGGCAGGCAAAGCCTGTGCTAATGTACTAGCATGCAGTAGATTTAGTCTAATGTGCGGTAATGTCACAAAAAAAACATTCATCTGCAGTAATGTGCACTACTGCCGATTATGGTGCATTAAGTTAGTAATGCACCGTAATCATTACAGGTACTAAACTTAATGGACCATAATTACAGCTTATTAATGAACATGTAGATACACCCACTGAGACTATATTAAAAATTCTGGGCATATCCTTAAATATTAGCATAAGTACTTGGAGTCAAGATGATTGGAATCTCAGAAGCTAGAACTCCAGAGGAGGCAGTTGATAAGAGTATTTGTCAAGGGGATATGCAGGTTATATAGTATAAAGAACTCTGCACTTCCCCAGGATGGAATGTTTTTAAACTTATTATCAGTCATATTTAATATGGAAGTGCTTGATGGTGGGGGTCTCTACTTTTTGTATAAAAGGCTAGGGGTTAGAACATAGGCCCAAGAAGTTCCTGTTGAAGCCTGTTTTGGGACAGAAAAGTATTTGTGATTCTTTGGCTGTTGAAGAAAGTGCAAGGAAAAGTATGACTTGATTACCTTGTGGGTGGTGCACTCACTTCAAGACTTGGTTTCTGTTCTCTGCTTCAGGAAGTGTTTTAGAATTTTATTCAATGACTGGTTAAGATCAATTCTACTCCCACCTCAATATGCCTTAACCATTAGTATACAGAGCCTTCCTTCCCTCTGAACACTTTTTCTGGCTCGCCCAGTGAATCTTGTACTTCTTACATAGTAACTTAGGCTCAACAGTAGAAATGGAGACTGTTCTGATCCAGGATAACCTATCCTGTATTCTGGACACTCTTGGGAAGTGAGAGAAGTAGATTTAACCCCATCCCTCCTGCCATGCAAAAGGAGAGACTAGAACCTGGGACTCTCACTTTCTGGATAAACTCTGGAAACATTACAACATTAAATCAACATGGGTGGTATTGGCTACACAACCTCCTTGTCCTTTGATTGACTGCTTTAAAAGGAAGTAGTGGCTGCTGCTGTATTTAAAGAGCAGCCTGATCCTATCAGTGTGTTTTGGGTGCTCACTGATCAACCCCCTCAGCATAGATCCTGGTTCCCAAATAGGCTTTGGTGTGAGATTTGGCACTGAACTGTTCAACCATGTCAAGACTGAATCACTTCTATACATACCCAGAAGTAGAATTTAGAGGTGCTTAGGGAACTTTAAAGTCAGAAGCTAGTTTCCATGGAATAGGAACCTCTATATTAAGTGGCAGCTGAGCAATAGTTTTCTGGGCTGTAGGTTTAGGTATAGATATTTAAATTCTGACTAAGTCCCAGTTAAATACCTACAGACAGTCCCAAGAAAATACTTAACACTTACTCTCTGATAATCCCCAGTTTGATTTGGGAAGTCAGGAGGGATTCAAAAAAGGGGGAAATCAGGAAGATGATGATGACCCCTCAGGATCATAAGGCTCAATTAGTGCAGAAATATTTTTCTGGAAGCCCTAGAGAAAATTCAACCT